CCCCCCGCCCCTTACAGGGCCAAGGACGCTTGATTCCACTCGACACACTTTTGTCAGACTACACAGCGCTGTTCCAAAGACCTACTTGTTTTCCACTTTTGCAGCATACACTTGGTCTTTCTCCAAGGCCACGTGGCGCTCCTCAGACACGCTGTAGTGGAGAATCATCTCCTCCATCAGAACCTCCAGCTTATGGATCTCCTGCCACGGCTGGATGACAAAGAAGCCGGGGTGGCAGGCCACGGGCACGTACACATCCATGTGCTCCCCTGGCTTCGACAGTTGGACAGGAGGCGGCAGTTCCTCCACAGGGAAGAGGTGGGGGTGGTCCACCACCGCCTTTCTGACGACCTCCACAGGTGTCTTCCTCAAACTCTCCCCGGAGGGGCCCTCCCCGGGGGAGCTGCCACTTTTGCTGTTGGGCGAGCCGGCCCCACTGGGTGAGGTGCTGAGGAACACATCCTTCTGATGCTTCCACAGGTCTGCGTTGGTGATCTGCCGATTGATGCTGCGGTGAGGGTCGGGGAAGTTCTTGGGAGTGAATAGATAAATATGTGCGATCCCTCGGGTTTCATCCACTTTTGTCACCTTTGGGAAACACACACATGTACACACACAGACAATGTGAGAAAGCCAAGCTATAATATGAATCTTAAAACACGGCAATGTTAAGCAAGCTTGCAGTGCATTGTATCAAAGGTAACATGAGTCATCTACTGTAGCTTTGAGCAACCAGACGGAACTGAAGTCACAGAGTCGTGAAGGCAGCAGCAACCTTATGGAAATGAAATCCCTACTAAGCTTTAACCCTCGGACAATGCCGAAGAACTAGCTGTCTCTTGTGAGAGGCCGGCTCTCACCCAGAAGGGCACTGGTTTAAAGAATAAATTGATAATTTCTCACACACTCCAGGCAGAAGCCTCCAGGGGGCTCAGCCTTGACGATGAAAAACAGCCACAGTGGTGGCAGGCTCTGCGAGCAGGTCTGCGTAAGGCTGGAGTGCCCTCAGCACTGGGAAGGGAAGGACAGCGAGGCATCCCCACCACACCCTTGGGCAGCTCAGATGTCCTCTTTAGTCCCAGAGCCCTCCTCCCCTCTCCTCCCAATTGTGCGGGAGAAGGGGGATCTGGAGCGAAGAAGACCAAGAGCAGAGTTGTAGCTCGGTGCCTTTCACCCACCTAGCTATCTTGGGCTAGTTAGTGTCTGCAGACAGGCGAGTATGTGCATGAAGAGACCACACACAGACACGGCGAACCGGGGTCGTCCTTCAGAACGGAGGGTGAGGTGACTGCTAATTCTCATCAACTCCTCTGGTTTACTTAAGGGACGCCAAATGTGTGCCACTTCTCCCAGGTTCATCTTACCATCCCAGACTAAAGTGGACCTGGGAGCACAGCAGGCAGGCGCGCGCTAGAGAGACACGCCAGCAAGGGCATCCGGTCACCGTCACTGCTCTTCTTCCTCAGCAAGACATATCTCTTTAAGACATGTCCTACGACTTGGCAGTGAATTCCTGGCTGCTGTTTCATTTTGATCTTTATGATAACAAAAAACCAAACTCTCTACCATCGAGTCGATCCCAACCCAGAGTGCCCTTACAGGACAGAGCAGCACTGTCCCTGTGGGATTCTGAGGCTCTTGACTCTCTATGGGAGTGAAAGCCTCCTCCTTGTCCTAGGGAGCAGCTGGTGGTTTCAAACAGGTCACCTTGTAGTTAGCAGCCCAACACCTAACCACCACACCACCAGGGCTTAAAATTTATGTGTATAGAGTACCCTGGATTTCGGGACTTAAAGAGCATCTGTGACCACGGAGCTGCCCTGTGAAGCGCTCCACACTTCAGTGTGCACTGTACAGTGTGGATTCCAAAGGACTGCTTAAGATGGGAAGTCAGGGTTTGTTCACATAATTTAAACCCCAGGGCAGCACTTCTCCTGGGCCCCTCACTGTGAAAGGCTCCTATCGAATGAAAACTCAACTTGCCTCTGGTCCCAGCAGAGAAAAGTATCTGGTTACATTTCTGTTCTCAGAAACGTGAGTAACACCTTTGATGCGAAAATGCTTAAGTGCAGAAAGAGAAAAGGAGCTAGCGAAATAAGCAAAATCACGTATGCAAACTTTTCTTTTTTTCTAAAAGAGCAAAAAAACCAGATTAAAATCGAGTAACTGGTTTACAATTCATTCTAGAGTAAAGGAAAAGTAGGGGACTTGGGTAATTTTAGAAGCATTTGAGAGATACACTGACTTCTCTGTTGAGAATCAGATAAGCGCAGAAGGTATCTTTGTTACATTTTAATAGTGGGAAACATTATATAAATTAAATAATACTGGAGAAATAGGATAACTTCTTAATTATGAAGGGGCTTCAATAAAATTATGGGAAAATTCCGTTATCTTTTCATTCAAACTTTCCAAACTTTTTGAAGCCCCCTTGTGGATAACAATTAAAAAACACAAAATATAACTACACATTTTTCCATTCCCTTGACTATAAAAATGTGTCACAGGTGAAGACATCAGCTTACAGGAAGGTAATATTATTCCATAAAAACCAAGTGAGCTCGTCTGCTGCCAGCTCCCTTTGTGAGCACGGCAGGGTCCACACGACGGCTCACCTTAATGCTGCAGTCCGAGCAATTCAGAACGGAATCTCTCAGCCAGAGCACAGCATCGGGGGTCCACATGCCGATGGACTGTGGGAGGTCTGCTAAACAGCACTTGACCGCCTGAGAAGAAAACACGATGAGAAGGCAGACACAGCAACTTCAAATAAGCACTTATGAGTACCGCCGGCATTATTTTCTGACACGTTTGATGCCGCCAAGATAGAGCACAGGAAACAGCAGTAGCTAATTACAACAATAACAACAATAACAACCACAGCCCTAGGGTCTGAGCAGCTATTTATGCTGTGCTGTTCACTTTCCTGAAGAGCCCTGGTGGTGTACTGGTTACTCACTGGGTTGCAATCCCCATGGTCAACAGTTCAAAACCACCAGCAGCTTCTTGGAAGAAAGACTGGGCTTTCTACTCCTGTGAACAGTTACAGTCTCAGAAACCCACATGGGGTCACCTGTGCCAGCACTGACTCGATGGCAGTGGGTTTGGTTCCCCATCCTATTGTATACCTGGTTCTTCATGCATTTCTTTTGCAGGGCAGTGCTATGATCCCATTTTATGGATGGTGACATAGAGGGCGAGACTAACTGGTGTCAGATCAGTGAATCACAAAGGGGTTGGGTTGGGACGCCTCTCTAGGCTTCCCTCCAAGCCAAACTAAAAATGAGGCAATGTCACGTAGTAGGAGGAATGGATGAAGAGAAACGGGGAACCCAGGGAGGAAGGGGAAAGAGCTGTTACAGCAAGGGGGTCATAGCCAAGGCCATGGAGCAAATGTCTATATCAATTATTGAATAGCAAACGCATTTGCTCTGTGAACTTCCACCCACACAACGGTGCACAGAAAGAAACAGAAATGTCATTTGGATGGCATCTGGTTCCTGTTACACAAATCTCTTTGGAGGCTTAAGTCTGCTGGCAGCATTTCCTGAGCACGGTGTGTACCTTTGGAAGGTTGAAATGATGAAGAAAGGTGAACAAAAAAAAAAGGACCCCCGACCCCCGTCAAGTCCATTCCAACTCCTAGTACCTCTACACAACACAGTACACTGCCCCACAGGGTTTCCAGGGCCGCCTGCTCTCTGGAAGACTGAACGTCTTGGTGGGTTAAAATGGTGACCTTTCAGTCAGTGGCTGAGCACTTTACCCAGTGCACCACCAGCGTTCAAAAAAGGTGAGACAAACCAGCTAGCTGGAAAGCCAGATCCTCTCCCATGTGTTTACATCCCAGCACCACTGTGCACAAACTCCACGGAAAGGCAGGTGGGCGAGAGCAGGGAACAGGAGATGGCCCTGGAGACTCCCTTCTGCCTTTACAATGGACAGAGGCGATTTCGTGAGGGAGGGTAGCTTCTTTCTCCTCCCTCCCTCTGTGCTGTCTGCCTGTGGCACCTGTCATGGTGAGGAAGTCACTAAGAGCGCAGACAGCCCCTAAGCCCTGACCGACAGGGGGGTTTGGGAGTGGTGTTGGTTTGGTTTGGTTTGGTGGGGAAAGGATCATGCAAGACAAAGATGAACTAAACCCAGATTTCCAAAGGAGGTGGTGATCTAAGTAAACTAAAAGCGCTGGAAATTAAGCATTTGCAAACAATATAGGAACTGCATAGCCATCAGCATTGTCTTCTAACAAAACAGGCCCTTGAACTAAATATACAGTCTAATGACTTGAACTTTCATTTATCACATCATACTGTCAGTCTCGGGGGTCTTATTGTCTCGAGTCAGCCAACTTTCAGTTTTGGAAATTGGTAAGCGACCACATTTGAATAGCTCCCAATTTTCTGAAAAAAAGTTGGGTTTCAATACATGAAGCCTATGTTACCAATGCAGCCAAACCTCTCCTAGCAGAAAGCCCGGCCTGACGCCCGTGAGTACCTGAGGTGGGACAGAGATCATCTCTGGTAGGAACCTCGGGGGGATTTCCCGGAGCTCCGACACCTTCACAGATGTCACAGTGCCGGAGTCCAGGAACTGGACATCGAGAGCCCGGCTACTGTGGACGTTTGTGATCTGAAATGAGACAAGCACTGGTGAATCTCTGAGCGTCTCCAAACGGCCCAATGCTTCGGCATCCAACCAACACAAAGGTGATCTGAGATTCTCTGACTTTGAAGTGGGCTTATTTATTAGAAAGATTCTGTTTTTAAAGAGTAGAATTGATTGATCATCTAGTTGTTAATTCATTCGAATCGTAATAATCAGTAAGCTAGTAATGGCTGAAACTCACAAACACACTGGTAGTTACTATTTCTTCAGTGACAGGGTATGATCAATGATACATTTTTATGTATGGCTGATTGGAAGATAGTCTATTCTCCACAAAATAAAGATATAAGAAGTAACTATTGTGCATAAGCAATCAATTGCTAAGGAAGGGAGGTACTTTAGAGACAGATTTACTTGTCATCGATAAGTTCTATGCATTTTTAAATTATAAGGTTATTTTGGGATTCTATAGCTTCATTGGAAAATTTAATATAATAATCTCAACTCAGAAAATTATAAATAGGTAAAAATAAGTCTAAATCAAGAGATTAAAAATGGGAAGATTATGCAGAGTCAGAGCAATAATTACCTACCTGTGATAAAATGACTTCCATTCCTACTGACAACATCACAATACAAGTTTCAAGATGAACCTCTAAGTGTCCACAATGTCCCCAATAAGTCACGGTGACATTTGTCTCCACACAACCTCCTTACACAGGTCAAAGGCCGCCCCATCAGCGCAGTCATCTGGGAGGGGGTTAGACTTCCAACAGCGTCACCTGCCACTGGCAGAACACCGGGACCTGCCCCTTCTGGGTTCTCTTTTTGGACCCATTTTAGATATGTTCTAGTTTTCATTATTTTCTGCTTTTTGTGGGTTGAGGTTGCCCTGTGTTTTATTGCTGTTGGGGGGTTTGGGGTGTGTTTTTCTTTATATGAAATCCAGCATAGGTAAATGTATAGAGACTGTAACTGGATTAGTAATTTCTTGGGGCTATGGCAGTGGAGGTGGAGGCAAATGGAGAGCGCGTGAGTACAGGAATGAAGCACACTACAGAACGCCTCACGTGGTTTGGATGGCCCATCATGAATGCTTCTTATATCCAGGCATCCCTATCTGGTCCTCAGAGATGTGCTTCCCCAACTCAAAGAGCTCCTGGTCTCATGGTAGATGACGCAAACATAGTTACTGCATACTAAGTACAATACTAAAGCTATGCTCGGAGCATCATGATAACACAGGGGATGGGTACCAGTAAGGGACATCGCATGATTCAACATCAGATGCATTTGGCTAGCCTCTCTTCACATATGCCTTTGTTCTTTTACCGTGTGCTGGGGAGCCAACGGGGAGCCCCCTTAGGGCCCAGGGAGCCTGAGCCAGACTGGCCGGGCTTTCTTTCTTAGCTTCGAGCTGACTATATGGGAATTTAGCCCCACTTTTTAGGGACACTGTGTGCCAGAAATATCGGGTGTGGCGTGTTTTGGGAAGTTAAATGACTGATTTTACCTCTACGCGTGCCCATTTCCCTTTGCAATGGAAGAGACAGATTTTCCCGCAGAAGGGGATGGGGATGAAGTACTCCGAAGTCACGTGCTGCAAAGCAGAAATAAGCAGCGTTACTTTTCTCACCCTCAGCACAGAGTGCACTGCTGCACCACTGAAACCACCGGTAGGCGACGGCGGCACAGGGAAACGGCTTAACCAGAATGTTCTAGAACATCCACACAAGCCTCTTCCCTCTCAGGAGAGTACTGGGTGGGGGCAAGGAGCCCTGGAGCTTCTGCCTTGTTACATATGCGCACGCTGATGACAGTGGTTCAGGTCCCCGACTTGGGGTGCCGGCCCATCAATCAGGACTGCTAAACTATCTACAGCGCGTGAGCATGGAGGTCGGGGTGCTCTGGCCCCACCAGGTAAACAAGAAGTAGGAGAGCAGCAGGTATGGAGCCAGGACGCTGGGTTACCACTCCTCAAGGCCTCTTCTTTCCACCTTTTAACAGTTAGAGCCTAAAACAGGATTTCGTAAATTCCAAAATGAAAGAAATGTCATCAACATGCCTGTGAAATGCCAACAGATTGGGGTTGTGGGTCTCTTCCCCTTTTGCTGCAGCTTGAAGCTGGGGACCCGCCCATACTGGCTTTCCCTGCAGGGGGAGGTGAGTAGCTATTATCTTCCCAAGGATTATCAAGAGAGCTTCTCCCTACCATGGAGAATGTAAGTGAGGTACTGGAGTCAGCTTCTTGGGGTGGCTCATATTTCACCAAGATAGGAAACCAATTAAACAGAGGTAATGACTCTGGGACACTCAATGACATCTGTAATCCAGAAAGAGCCAACACTTCAGACCCAATGCCTCCATCGCGTGGTCTTCCTAAGTAGCACTGCTAACTAGGGAGTACCGCGAGTTGAGGTATAAAAACTGGTTATGGCACAGAGCCTGCCTGCCCTTAGGAAGCCTGCACTACTTGAATACGGGAAATAGGTATCTAAATAGCTAACTACAATACAGCAGCTGAATACTTGCCCCACGAAGTGCTCAATGAGCTTTGTCGGTAAGGGGAATTCTCGCTTTGTGGGATGAGAGGGAGGGGGTGAAAGAGCATCAGACTTTTGGCCCCGGGAAATCAGGGCATGTTCTGGGTTAGGACTACCATTCTGAATGGAGGTAAAGGAAGGTGTCTCAGAAACGTGAAAGAACGCAAGCCCCAGCAGGTCCTGAGTCAGAAAAGAACACAAGTCAAAAGTTATTCGTTTGTATGCGATGCTGTGGACCACTCTCCCTTGCCATTTTGAGCTTCTGTGGAAGGCAGATGATGCCCAGCCATACCTTACAATGGAAGTAGTCTTCTATCTTATGTAGAAGGTCGCTGAGTTTGTTCAGACCCTTGCAGGGCACCTGGCAGTAGAGTGTTCCATCGGAGCAAATATTGGTCACTTTGACATTTGTGTACATGGCATCAACCTGGACCAGACAAAAGGGCACCCTGGTTAAGGTAAAGATGGGTCCGGAGGCTCCACAAGCGAGGGAGCTCTTACCCACCTAATGTAGGATATATACACAGTCGCTGTGAGCTACAGCCCGCTCTATGACAGTGGCTGTGGGCATTATCTTTACAAAGCCCTGGTGGTGCTTTGGTGTAAGTGCTGGGTTGCTGGGGTTCAAACACACCCAGAAGGCCCTTTGGAAGAAAGAGAAGACTGTCTGCTCCCATATAGATTATAGTCTTGGCAAGTCTATCCAGGGCCACTCTGAGTCGGACACAACTCAATGACAATGGGTTGACAAGATGCCTGGTCGTATGGTGGTTAAGTGCTGAGCTGCTAACTGAATGGTGGGCAACTGGAACCTTCCGGCGCCTTGTCAGGGAAGAACTGGGAAACCTCCCTGTCAAGTTAACAGTCTAAGAACTCTATGGGGTAGTTCTACCCTGTCCCACAAGGTCATTATGAGTCGGAATCAGCTCAATGTTGATGGGTAAGAGAACACGGGTAGATTCCCTACCCGGTTCTGCAGATATCCCTCTCTACATTTGGCTCTGGTGTTTGCTGCTTTGCTTCTGTGATGCTGGGTTTCCCTCCCGGCCAATGTACCACATCCCCTCCCCTCCATGGGTCTTTGACTCGGGCTCTGCTGCTGGGAAGGCAATCTGTACACCAGCACTCTTTGATATTTCAGGCTTTAATGTTTGATCCTACCTAGGTATTTTTCTGATCATAAATAATAATGTAGTAATTAGCCTTATTCCCTCCACCCCAATGGTTACTCGGCTGTCCAAACACTATTTGCCAAATAATCTTTATTTCCCTACTAAATTGTTATACTTTTAGATTGTATACATCTCGCATCTAAATTTGAAGTCCACCTATGAACTCTATTCTGTTTCATTCACATTTCTTTCTGTTCCTGGGCTTTCCCATATTATTTTAATTCTAATCCTTCATCATGTATTTTAATTTTTAGTTCAGACTGGTCTTTCTTCGGTACTTCAGTTTTTTCCAAAGCTTTTCAACAACCTCTGCATTTTATTCTTTCAGAAGTATTTTAGGGTCATTTTGTCAAATCCCCATAAAAAGATATTGGAATTTCGTGATCACATTTAAGTTGACAGACTAATTTCGGAGAAGGTTTGTATCTTTACACTGTTGAGAATAAGATGCGTTTCTATTTATCCAAGTCTGTCCTGAGTGTGTCTAATTTTTAAAAACGTCTAGGTGCATTCTTATTTCTAGACATTTCATGTTTGGGGTTATTTCCTATGAGATTTTTTTCTTCAAGTGCACTTTTTAAATCGGTTGCCATCAGCATTAAAAAAACCTAAACTGTTGTCTTATGAATACATATATTTAAACTGAGTCAATTTTAAAGTGGGTCAAACGGGAGATGGGTTTAACATAACTACAGTTGCCATCATCCACTTTACAGTGCTCTCTGTCCACTAGCACGGCTACTCACATCCCTGACTGTGGCCCGAGGGGATTCACCAGAGACCATGCAAATGGATTTGGGCTTCCACTGCTATCTGTAGCCTTCTGCAGACTGATCCACAGGTTAAGCTCTGATACTATTCCCTCCTTCAGATTTGGTTTTTATTATTTACAATCTTTGGATCACACAGGCTGCTGTGCTTCTTCCATGTGGACTTAGTTGACGCCTCACTTACATGGCTGCTTGTTTGAAGACAAGCCTTTAAACCCCCAGACACTGTTCTTTCTGATAGACAGGCACCCTCGAGTTTTTTCACCACACTTTTCTATAGCACCCTATCTTCAGTGATCTCTCCATGAGGGCAAGTTCAGAGCAGGGCCAAGACATAACAAGGAGCCGCTCTTAGATTGGGGCTGGAATTAAGCATGAACCCCAAATCCATTCACATATCCATGGTTTATATATGTATCTGGTTCATTTTAGAGACCCCATGGTAATTTTATGATAGAGAACATTATAATGAATATGAAGTTTTAATGTCTGTCTTTCAAATGCGAATTTATTAAAGAGATGCTACCTTTTAACTCCAGTCAGGCATACAATACCTATCTCTGGTCTGCTCTCCTGTGACATTTCCTAGCCTAAGACTGATAGCATTCTGGTGCCTCTTCTTCACACCCTCTGAGCAAGCTATCAGGAGTGATCACGGGTACCTGAAGGTGAGCTTCCAGGGACCTGTCACAGATGGCCTTTAAGCAGGTGGCGTTGACGTTGATGTCGTCTTCCCCGGAGGTGTCATACAGAACCACGAGGGGCACCTCAGCTTTGTCAAGGATTTCCACCGCAAAGATCTTCCCACAGGTCACAGATTCCACCACTTTCACTAAGTCAGGGTCATCACTCAGAAACTCCAATCCTGAAAAAGAAGGTGTACTTTATTCTCACTGAATTGGATAAATCCGTTGAAGATGATAAGAGTGATTTCAATCTGTTTTGGCCATTTACTATCTAATTAAGAATTGACTACACAGTACTTTCATTTTAAATGGAAGCTTTGTTTTATAATCTTCCTTATGTTATCTATCTTATATTATCCCTTATAATTTTAGAAATATGGTATGAATGCCTTTTTGAATGATTACACTATGGTAAACAATCCTGTAACAAGATAAAAGCTGACCACCAATCGGAAATGCGACTGTAGGACAAACAGCCTTTACAGATACACACAAGCTCACTGACATCGAGTTGAAGCCAGCTAACAGGGACCTCCAGGACTGGGCGGACGGAAGCGCCCCTGTGAGTTTCCCACAGGCAGGAAGCCTGTCTGTCTCCCTTGGAGCTGGTTTCACACTGCTGACCTTGCAGTTGACAGCCCAGCTCCAAACCACCCACGCCTCCAGGGATCCTGCATAGATAAAATAAAAAGCTACCAATCAATTATATCTGTCAGTCTTGTATTTGCCTTTTAGTTCCCCAAATCTCATCCTCGATTTTCTTTTTTTCCCCTTTTGAGTGAAATACCTACAATTATCTTCGTAGAGAAAAAGAAATGCTCATGAATTGAAATGAACACGTTCTTTCCTGTTTGAAAGGTCCCAGGGATGGCTCTGAGGAAACCAAAGTACCTTCTGATTGATCACGGATTCGATGTTTCAAAACGTTAAGTGGATTCCATTACAGACCAAATACTATTTAAAATTCCTTGAACACTGCAATCTCATGTGTCATACATATGACGACTCACAACTAACGTGCTGTCCTTCCCTGATGCACCTAAAGAGCTGGCGATCTCTATGGTCCCCTGTACACGCAGACGCTCCCCTCGGCACTCCTCCGGACACGCAGCGTGTCAGCCTTTCCTCAAACCTCTCGTTTCCGCCTCCTAAATCCCGTCCAATGGCAGCTTTCAAAACCTACTCCTATGGGTTTCTAGTGGCTTATAAAATACTTGAGATTTACCTTACAGATAGATTCAAACCTAGCTTCTTCAACATTGGTCCTTGCTGGACACAGGATTTCCTTCAGAGGGCTAATTTCCATGAAAGAATGAAGCTCTCTTGCTGAGTTTTGCTTAAACTCTCCTGGATGATGCCTTGTTTCGTGGGCAGCAGAGCACTGGGTCCCGCTGTCCCGACAATGTCACTCTCACACACATGCACTCCTCTACTCCCCCTCAAGGAACCAAGAGAGGGGCAGTGACACATTAACTCTGTCACCAACGCCACAGACCCACAGCTGAGCTTGAGCTTGGGGCCATCAGGTGTGTTACTTGTAGGCACCGCCCTCGGAGTCCGTCTCTGTAGGCGGAGGCTGACGGCCACCTGGAACCCCAGTCCAACCAATGACTCCAGCTGGTCAGAGCCCGCCCCTCTCCTGAGGACAAGCTCCAGGGGGGCCAGCAGACCTCTTCTTTATAATGCCCTCATGTTCCAAAGACCACCCTACACAGGGGACTCCTTACACCTAAGAGTGAAATACTTCAAAACACTTGGCTTGTTTTCACAGCTAAACATTCAAAAGTACAGCACGAACAACTTATCAAGAGAAGATGGAGAGCGTGACAGAACAAAACAGAAACCTCCTCTTACCTGCCAGCTTGCACTTGGCCGCTTGGAATGAAAGTGCACAGAACTTAGGATTCAACTTGTATGCTTTGTTCCGTTCAACATTTTCACTAAAACCATAGTCAACATAGCATACCTAAGGGTAATAATGCAAACAAAGGAACATGTTAGCGCCTAGGGACATTTTAACATCTTCACTTCTTTACAAAGGAAAAGCCTTTGATAGATCTCGCTCCCTCTCACTGTCATCAGGTGGGTGCAACTGCGTCCGTGGGTCCCCAAGAGTAGAGACGGGAGCAGAAAGCCTGGTTTTTCTCCTAGGGAGCGGCTGGTGGTCCTGAACCACCGACCTGGGGGACAGCAGTCGCCTTGTCACCAGGGCTCCTTTAGCTGGCCCATTTTACTCAGCGTTTTAAAATGGGCTCGCTGTTTTGTTTTATTTTCTTCCCCAAGTGAGGGGTGCTTCAGCTGGTTGGAAAATACCAATTGACGCCTGATTTAGCCCAGAAAAGCCAGCCTGGGCTGGGATCAAAGATAATCAGGATGTGGCCTCTGGGGCCCGCCTGCACTGTGCCCTGGGCCTGCAGGAAGAGCAGGGCCAGACTGAGCTCCGCTGTGCTGCCTGCTCCGCGGCACTTTCTCACCAGCACACCTGTCCGGTTCTGTCCCACCCACAGTGACGGCAGGCCCACGCCCCTGCTTCCTTGTCTAACATGTTTGTATCTAGCGGAGGCAGGACTCTGGGCTATGTAGCAGCATCTCCAACAGCGGTTCTTAACCTGTAGGTCATGACCCCTTTGGGGGGGTCGAATGACCTTTTCACAGGGGTTGCCTGACTCATAACAGTAGCAAAATGACAATGAAGTAGCAGCGAAAATAATGTTATGGCTGGGGTCACCACCACATGAACTGTATGAAAAGGTCGCGGCATGAGGAAGGGTGAGAACCACTGCACTAGAGCCTCCGACAGCTGTGTTCCTGATGGCTGCTCTGGGCCGTGATATTCCAGGGGGCTGAGGAGCACCACGGCTGAGGACCACATGGACCCCCGTGGTTGGGCAACTAGAAGCCGGTACTGTAGAAACAGGGGCTTCTGTGGGCGTGGGGGGTGGGGGTGGAGGGGTGATGCTGTCAGGCCTTTGCCCAGTTCAGCAAAAGTCTCCAATGTGAGAGACAGCGCCCTGTGTTTACAGAAACCCTCGTGACTCCTCTTAGCCCTTAGCACCGAGCAGTGAGCCTGGGTGTTATTTTTAGAGTGCTTGCAAGATCTTCAGTTGAAATCAGATACATAAACATACCGCCACTACCACCACTCCTTCTCACCCCACCCCTTTTTTTTTTTGAGAAAAGTAAAATCCAGAAACACAAAGCCTTGGATTTAAAATGATAACTAAGAGTCGGCAGGGGACTGCTGGAAGCCCAGCGTGCTTCTCTAAGTAGTAAGATGGATGAGCTTTAAAGATTCAACAACAAAAACCATGGGCGTTCCCGACTGGCAAGGCAGGGGCATGGCTAACAGAGAGCAAGCCCACAGAGGCGGGCAGCCCTTCTGACCTTCTGCCTGAAAATAACGCGTACAGGGCAGCTTCTTAGCACCAAGGGTCTGATACTAAATGTACAAAACACAAATCCCACTGAGCAGGAAGTCAAAGGACACAGGAAGAGACAGAGAGACCACCACCTGCCCTTGGGCACCGAGCAGCCTCTGGAAAGCAGCTCTGGGCGAGGGGCTGGGGGCTGTGCCCCAACAGCAAAGAAGACACAAAGGCAGATGTGTACTCTGACAAAGGGCAGGGCATCGGGACCGTGCCTCAGTGGATGGTCAGAACCTGTTCCAGGGAGGTTCTGGGTGGTTTGTAGCTTCCTCGACCTCCCCTTTCTGTCCTTCCATTCTTCTTTCGAATCACTGCAGCACATAACTGCTCTCTCCTAAGTACTTTAGCAAGCAAGATGTCCTGGGAAAGGACATACATCGTGCTTGGTAGACAGAGACAGCAAAAAAGAGGAAGACCCTTGCAAGATGGACGGACACAACGGGCGCTGCGTCGGAGCTGGCACAAGGTTAGGCGGAGCCTCAGGACATCACACAGTGGTGCAGCAGTCGGGGCAGAGCACAGGGATTCCCAGCTGACTGACCACACCACGCTGAGGGCTGGGGACAGGGTCCCTCACTAACGCCCCATGGTGCTGCACAGGCAGGTCCTCGGGTGCCACCTAGTGGCTCTAGGTGCCCCGACACCCAAGCAACCCATCGCACACCCGTGATGCAGGGCTGGGTCAGGCCGACCACCTCAGGGGTGATCACATGCCCCGAGGGATCCAGGCCCTGCCTCTCATACTCAGCGAATAGGAAGCCAGGAGGGAGCCTCTAACTTGTGCCAGGCACCGCCCAATTCAAGAGAAACAAGAGGTCCGGGTTTCTCCAAACCACCACAGCAAATCGAACTCACTGCCATCGAGTCATGCTGACTCACGGCAACCCCACCGGACAGAGTGGAAGTGCCCCTGCAGGGCTCCGGGACCGTCCCTGTTCATGGGAGGAGAAGCCTCAGCTGTCTCTGGCAGCCACTGAGCTGGAGGAGCAAGGCCCGATGTGAAACCACTACCCACCAGGGCTCCTCCTCCAGATGAAGGGAGGCCTCATCTGTCAGCTTCATGGGTTCCTTCAAAACCAGTACTCAGCAGAACCGAGACAGCCGCTTGCTTTGGGAGCGTCCTACTGAATGGACAGTGAGCATCGTCTTCATCTCTAACACCGGTACAATCCTCACAGCCGCGTGCTCCCTGCTCTGGGAGACTTCTCCCTTCTGGCTTCCATGCCACCACCTGCTCAGCTCTCCGCCTTCTCTGGCCACTCATGTCGTCTACGCCTGGGCAATGAGGCGCGTCTGCCTCAGTCTCCTCATCTGGAGGAGTGCACCAGACCAAACCCTTACAGCCATGTTCCGTCGGGTGAGAGAGACCTCTTCAACAAGAGACTATCTCCTGCAAACGTCTCCATAAAGCAGCGGCCCCTCTACTGTGAATGAGTTTAAAGGGAGACTGAGGAGGCAGCTCATTGCTGAAAAACGAAAATCCCCAACAGACCACACAGCTTTCCCCAAGTAAGAGAGAGGCAACACTTTAAAAGGGTAGACAGAGCCTATGGAACCACCTGGGTGTGTTACGCGGGGATCCCCCAAGACGCATAGCACCATGATCTCAAGGAGACTGCCCTGTGGGTGAGTTCTGGTTCTCATTCTCTGCACTGAGAGAAGAGGAGGCAAGGGGCAGAGGCTGACAGGGACAAAAAGGCCAAGTGCCGGCAGCAGCTCTTGGAGAAGACCCAAGGGCTCGCCAGGTTCTGCTCGGCCAGCTGCAGGAGCAAGGGGCGTCTTCTCATCTCTGTTGGCTGCCCTCACTTCAAAGACCTGGCTGTGATGAGACGTGCACAGAGCTCTACCCTGGGTTATCCCTCAGGAATAAGAAGAAATGCCTTGTGCTGATATGATCATGACTATGGAGATGCCACGGAAAAGGATCCACCCCCCTTCCCATAAAACCGTGAGATAATAGGACCGTTACTGAGTTTCAGGCTGACAGGGACAATCTTTTTTCTTTTTTTAAATCATTTTATTGGGGGCTCGTACAACTCTTATCACAATCCATACATACATCCACTGTGTCAAGCACATTTGTTCATTTCATCATTCTCAAAACATTTTTTTTCTATGTGAGCCCTTGCTATCAGCTCATTTTTCCCCTCCCTCACGAACCCTTGATAATTTATAATTATTTTGTCATGTCTTACACTGCCTGTCATCTCCCTTCACCCACTTTTCTGTTGTCCATCCCCCAGGGAGGAGGTTATACGTAGATCCTTGTAATCGGTTCCCCCTTTCTACCCCACCCTCCCTCCACCCTCTGGTATTGCCACTCTCAGCACTGGTCCTGAAGGGATCATCTGTCCTGTGTTTCCAGTTCCTATCTGTACCAGTGTACATCCTCTGGTCTAGCCGGAATTGTAAGGTACAATTAAGATCATGATAGCGGGAGGGGGGGAGGGAAGCATTTAAGAACTAGAGGAAACTTGTATGTTTCATCGTTGCTACCCTGTACCCTGACCGGCTTGTCTCCTCCCCACGACCCTTCTGTAAGGGGATGGCCAGTTGGACAGGGACAGTCTTATACAGTGACTATCTCTTCTACTTCAGGAGAAAATGAAACGGTTTAAATGGACACGCTAGAAATAACCTTTGCCATTTTAAAGTGTACGACAGAGTACGCAATACTTGCCTTTATTCTGCTGCCGTCTACTGAGATGATCTGTGCCCGTAACCAAGCATCCTCCTCGACCTTCACTGCCAGCAACTGCCCCACGTGCACAGCCTGGACAGGTGCGACCCCGGGGCTCTTGCTGTAGTGCTCCTTCATCTCGTCTTCCATCAGCTCTTGAGCGGCAGAGTAGTCCTTGCCCACATACCTGCATTGGTGCGGAAGGGACAGGAATGAGGAACCCCGTCGGGGCATGCCACGATTCACTGATCTATTCACTGATCGGCCTCCTTTTCCCCTGCTGCCATCGCTGGCTCCAGCCTTGGACTTGCTTACGACAACAGGAAGGAGAACGTGTACTCAGCCAACAAATGTGCCTCCGAATAAGGACAGCGCACTGTGGCGATCAAGGGAGACAAGACTTAGGTCTAACACACCACATAACCCAGCAAACGTTCCACAGTGACCCAAAGCATTAGAAGCATAGTAGAGCAGCCATTGGGGCCGGTCTTCAGGGTGGACTAAGCTGAGAAAGGACTAGAGGGACAGGAGGAGAGGGAGACACCATGGAAAAGGGGACACCAATGGGGGCCAGGCAGGCAGGGCTCACACTAAGACTGTTGTCAAAAGCTACTGGAAATCTTGATAGATCACTGAAAGGGGGGCTTTGCCTTAAGGCTCGGGCACTGAAGAGAAAAACAGTGCCTTCACACACTAAAATCAACCACATGACAACGCCCAACTGCCTGCGCCCATCTTCACAGATGGGAACAAGCACGTGGAGCTCTGACACCCTTCCAAGATGTCACTGGTTGTCCGGGCCAACGTGTCTAACAGGGCACATGCCTCCTGAGGAGCTGCTCCTTTCCCGTTGGCCCCTACCCCTTCCAAGATTTTCTGTTGTTGAGAACGGCGGTGACTTTGTCTGGGCTCACGCCAGCCATGAGCCTGAACCGCCTGATGGGAGAAGCACCGGATGGTGGCCAGCACCCCTCCCTGCACAGAAAGGGAGCGAGAAAAGCACACAACAAACTCCAACCTCGTGAAAAAAGACCAGACTCACTGCTCTAACGGCAACTGGTGGGACCGTCACTGCAGGGCTCCAGCCCCTTCAAACCTGCGACTGGCCCTGTCCCCCGGGAGCCACTGTCAGACAGCCGACAGTCAGGCCTGTCAGAGCGACGACAGACTCCAGGAGGCGACCAGAAGGGCGGCATTTGCTCAAGAGCAACATCCAGAAGGGAGGAAGGGGCAGGACAGACAGGCGAATGGAAGCAGGAAACCTAGGGAGGAAACGGGCCATGTTCTGCTACCCAGCGAGGCCTGTGCCCAATGACTACAAATTGGCTGGATGGAAAACACATTTGTTCTGTAAACTTCCTCCCAAACGACAGTAAAAAGCTAAAGCAGAATCCTCCACAAAAGGGAACAAATGGCTCGTCTGAAGTCATGGCTATTTTAAGGCCAACATCCATGTGCATGATTCACCCTGGAAACAGCCAGAGAGGCTGCCGTCAGGTACGAGCACTCAAACGTGAAGGCAGTGCCCGGAATGCAGCTGCCTTTGGCCCGGACATCCCCTAGGAGGTCTGCAGCTCTGCCCGAGGGCCTGCTGTCTCCAGGGACCCAGAGTCCCCAGGGGCTCCAGCCCTGAGAGCTCAGCGGGCCGCAGCCACCCGCTGGCCGAGAGCCTGGCACAAGCTCCTGCCAGGGAGAAGGAAGGTGTGTGGGCCAGCGTGGGATCAGGAGAAGGCTTACATGGCTCGACTAGAGACGGGCAGGAGGACACCACAGCTGGTGTGGATAGTGGGCAGTGGTTAAAAATGAGGTCCTATGTTGACCCCAAATTATCTGAGCAAGGGGACAAAGAATGCATGAGTTAAATGACAACAAAAACACACAAAAACTCATGCCACCGAGTCAGTGCTGACTCATCACGACCCCCTGCAGTTTCCGAGATAGTAACTGTTGACGGGAGTAGAAAGCCCAGTCTTTCTCCCCAGGAGTGCTGCTGGTTTCCAACTGCCGACCCTGGGGATCGCAGCTCTTCATGTAACCACCGCACCACCGGGGCTCCTTGTAAGCTGATTCAGGAATGCTGCTAACCCGAAATTTCACAGAGTTGGTATGTGGGGCCAGATTTCCCTTCACACTTGTCCTTAGGGTTCTGCCACACTGCTCAGGGTCCTTCACGCCACGGCCACAGGACAGCGTCCAGAAGCACCAGCTGCTCGGAAGGCACAGAACCAGGCTCAGCCAGGAGGGGCCAACCGAACAGCAGGCACTGTGCCACGTGCTTGCCGGTGCCACCCATCCCGCTGCTGACTGTGCAGAACGCTGGCTCGGGATTCAGATGGATATGGTGGAAGGGGGTCTGAGCAGCTGAGGGTTCAGGAGCATCGGGAGCCCTGGCGGTGCAGTGGCTAAGCGCTGGGATGCTAATCAGAAGGTTGGAGATTCAAACCGCCAGCTCCCTCGTGAGAAAAAGAGGTGGCAGTCGCTTGCATAAAGATTAGAGCCCTGGACATGGGAAGAGGCAGGCTACTCTGTCCTTGAGGGTGGTCGTGCGTGGTATCGACAAAATGGTGATGGGTTTCAGGACCTTGTTACCCTGGAATAGACTGGAACCCCACTGAAATCCTAGAACTGGTCCAGATTCCTCCTGTCAGCCTTTAGTAAGAAAATCAGAAACGACGGGCCTCAAAGGCAATTCTGGAAAGGGCTCAGAAAGCAGTGAGGAGGTGAGCCTACAGATGACAGGGGCAGTGAGCAGCAGCAGAGAGATGTGGCAGAAGAACCAGGAGCAGAGAGTGAGGGCGAGAGGGAGCTGAGCGCGTGCGGGCAGAGCAGGGGGACACCCTAGAGGAGCTGCTGATGCAGCTTGCTGACCCGCAGAGCCAGGGAGCTGAGCACCTTTGGGCTGCGGGTCATTGGTAGGGTGAGGTGCCTGTGGGCACTGATTGGTGGACCTAAGCAGCTTTGCAGCATTTACCAGAGCAGAACAGAGATTGGGCTGACCCAAGCAGCCTGAGGAGCCAAGCGGTGGAGCGTCCCAGGAACCAAGCAGCAGCAGCAGCAGAAGAGGCTAGTGCAGCAAGCATACCAGACCTGGCTCGGTTTCAAATGGTAGGAGCACGACCTCTGGGGTCTTCAAGGGTGGAGCGATGGCCTGCTGGGTCTCAAAGTCATGACTCCCTAGGTTTCCAAGTCAGATCTTCAGCAGCCTGGTTCCAAAATACGAGGCTGCCACTCATGTGTGCTGGGAACAGGGAGGGAGCCAGTGACCAAAGTGGAGCGAGCGGGTGGGGCTTCCACACCTGAAGAACAGAAGCGTGCGGCCTGCCAGGCCTGAGCAGGTAGGGTCACTACTCAGTTGAGCCACATAGACGGGACCTGCCTGAAGCTAAGGGAGCAGAACTGCTGTCTCAGTGGGCCTGAAAGATGGAGCTAAATCCCAGAGCCAAGTGGCCGCTATCTAAAATCACGAGCATGGCTACCACCCTGAGTCAGCCAGGCAGGCAGGACTACTCACTGGGTAGCCCCATGGAGCAGAAGATTATTCCCAAGTCCTGAGAGCTAAAGTAGATTGTTCTGTTGAGTTTTGGAATTCCATAACGCCCATTACCCCTTATTTACCTCCAATTGCTCCCACAGAAATAGCTCCCTTTTGCCTCTTCCACCACTGTCTATGAGGAGCAGGTGCTGGTATTCCAGATTCACGGGAGAAGAGGCATTTTGCCCAGGACAGAATTCTGACTGGGAGTTGGTGGAAGACTTCTGGCGGGGTGAGTGTCTTCAGGTGGTAAGGGCATTAATGGGGAGGGGAGGGACAGATTATCATGGGTTGAATTGTGTCCCCTACATGCCTATCAACTTGGCTGGGTCATGATTCTCAGCGCTCGGCAGCCGTGTAGTGGTGTCATTTGGTATTTATGTATAATGTAAACATCCCCTCAGGATCTGATCAGCCAATCAGTCGTAAGGTGATGAGAATAGAATGCAATGTCCCGATTCAGGTCACAGCCCTAATCAGATATATGGACTGTTTTCCTGCAGTGTGGCCTTACATGAGTTAAAAGGAGAGAGAAGTGAGCAGACTAGCAGGGACCAGGAAAGCAGAACTGGTTGTGGAGCATGTCTTTTAGATCTGTGGCCCCCTCACTGAGAACCTTCTAAACCAGCAGTTCTCAACCTGTGGGTCACAACCCCTTTGGGGGTCAAACGACCTTTTCACAGGGGTCGCCCAATTTATAACAGTAGCAAAATGACAGTGATGAAGTAGCAATGGAAATAATTTTCTGGTTGGGATGGGTCACCACATGAGGAACTGTATGAAAGGGTTGCGGCATTAGGAAGGTTGAGAACCACTGTCTTAAACCTAAGAGCAGATTGATGCTAAGACACATGGAAATCTGCAAGGGATATCCAGCCCAAAGCCTTCAACTACGGCTGCGTCTCTGCCCCCTAAGCATTGAGAGAATACACTTCTATGTGTTAACACTACCTACTTATGGTACTGGTTTGTGACAGCCATCCACTTATGATATTTCTGTTACACCAGCACCAGATAGCTGAGACAGGGCCCCTAGCCCTCAGCTACGTATGTGTATCTTTAGGCTGTACCACATCACAGAAGAAAAGCTTTATGCATTCATTATTCCCCTAGAGTAAGACCTCTTGCTAAAGCTCCCAAGGGCTCTAGTAGAATACTACTATGTTCACTCCAACTTCCACTCAAATAGAAAAGCATTATGATTTTTTATCTCTTTTCATTGAAGGTCTTTGAGCACCTTCTGTGGTCTTTTGGGGGTCAGCTAAGTTATATAGAATACTATATAACTAAGACTTTCTTCAACAGGCCCCCTTCCCCCACCGCTACTCATGTGAATGACAGTCAGAGGCGGCAACACATCAGAAAGCCGCAGAATGACACAACAGAACTTGCCTGATAACCACTTCATTCGTGTTGTTCAGCTCAACCACCAGTACGGACGGCGAGGGCTCGGTGGGAATGGTCAGCGGGGGGACTGCAGCATGCCCCAGGAAGACATCCTCACTTTCAGCAACGCTGGCTTTCCCCAGGCTCTCTTCAATCTGCAAATACTCCTGTTTGATCATGCACTTGATATCACAGTCGCCCTGGCCTTGCCCTGCATCACGGAGGCTTTTGTCCGTGGCCGCTGGAAGTTTAGCATAGAGAATGGCCTTCTGGGGATTTCCAGAAACGTAGTCTATGGTGCACACATCAGAGAGCGAGGCCAGGTTGTTTAAGCCATCCTCGGGGAACTTGACCTTGTGCATGTCCTCAAAGGCTTTTGGGAGAGCGCTGGCCCAAAGGCCGCTCCTGTATTTCTCCAGCAGCCTGGCCACTTTCTCTTTCAAGTCTCCGGGCATAACCGGCGGATGCTCTTCGGATGGAGGCTTTGGCTTTTCAGCAGGTATCGGGAGTGGAGGCACTTTTTCATGGTCCGTTTCACTTCTCAAAAGCTGTGGTCTCTTAGCGGGGTAAAGCAGCAAATCTTGACCACCACTGCACGGTTTCTCCACCTAAAATGTTTAAATAGCAAATGACAGACCTTTCAATGGCAGCATTCATGCATTTTGAGTTGGAGTATAATGACCTCTGAGTTAACCAGGAGAACAGAGATTTTACCATCCCCAGTCTTACTATTCTCAAGTCCTAAACCTTGAATGCAGTTTTCACTTGGAAAGTGCATCATGAACCACACTTCCAGGCATCACCGAGGAAAACAGCAGCCCTGATTCCACCTGGGAGGCAGCTAACCTTCTGTAACCTCAGGGGCCCGTGAGGACTGCTACCCTAGAGATTGCACGTTTCATTTTATCCCCTCTGCCACCAGTGGTATAGAATTAAAATACTATTGAGAAAAAAGCAAGCATGCATGTATCTAATTTAACATTTAGTCTAAAAGACATGGATGAATTGTTGACTTGGACAGATTAAAACCTAAGTAACCGGACACTACTGCTTTCAGATTTTGTCTTGCTTTGCTACCTCACACTGAATATTCGATCTCAACACCCGCCACAATACCCTTATCATTAGTTTTCACATCTGCCTTCTTCTAGGCTGGCAGTGTCTTAACTAGTTGAGGTCCCAATAAAAGCCTCATAAAGGTGTGCAGTCAATAATGTATGAAAAAGGAGAATGGAAAAATGGATGGGTGGGTAGATGTGTGAACAGACTGCTGGGTGGGTGGACAGATGATTCTTGGCCAGAAGTGGGCATGGGTCTCAAGTCAGTGATAGTGGCCTAGACCAATAAGGGGTTAACAAGAATATACACTGTATTTATGCCTGACGCTTATAGAGCGGAGGTGACCTACACTTGGCCCAACAGGTATGGGAGCCAAAATATACATACATTCAAGTTTTAAAAGAATAAAAACCATCAAAACACACATAATCTTCACTCATATTTAGTTTTACAGATTACAAGTATCAAGTAGCCACAGTGGTTACATTGTTGACTATAGACTTTGTAAATGAATTATTGAGAAACATCTAAGCATGACCTGCTTTAAGAATCTAGTTGTCTTCCTTTGGCCAAACTAAGATTTTAAATAAATTATTCAGCTAATGTTTAAGTCATTTTATTGGGGGTTCTTACAGCTTTTATAACATTCCATACATCAATTGTATCAAGCATATTTGTACATATGTTGCCATCATCATTTCCAAAACATTTTCTACTTGAGTCCTTGTTATAAGCTCTTCTTTCTTCCTTTCCCTCGCCCATCCTCCCACCCTCGTGAATCCTTGATCAATCATATATTGTTATTTCCTATCATGACCCCTAAGCAGGAACCCAAACCCACTATCAGGTCAATTCTGACGCACCGTGACCCTATTACATTGGCTTCCTGGGCTGTATTCTTTACTGGAGGATAGCCTTATCTTCTGTTCATGCCTAACTAAGGAGGATTAAGTATGGAAACTGGTCAATCAACTCATGTCTTAATTTTCTTTTCTCCGAAGGTAGTTTGTAAAAATTTAAAATTTGAACCCTCTATTAACTTTTTAAGAAAAATCAGATACTCTATAAATAATTAGCTAAAAGAGTTGCTTGATTTAAAATCTTCTAAAATGACCAACCAGGAGCATATACAATTTGAGGCCAATAAAAAAATCATTCTTATTTCCAGCAAGTTACTAAAATGGAAAAGCTATCAGTGTTTAGGAGTAGAATTCAATTTTATTAATGGCACAAAAACTATCATATGAGGAATCTAAAATGTTTATGGAAAATGTGTATTGTGAAAAAATGAAACATGGATTTTAAAAGAATTTTGCACCAAAATGAACTTATACTAACTTGCTGTAACATATCTGAGCAGGATCTGGTTTGAGGCATTAAGAAGAATGTTAAGTAGAAAAAAGATATTTTGAAAATGATGATGGCAACATATGTAACAAACAAGCTTGACACAATGCAAGTATGTACGGATTGTGATAAGAGCTGTAAGATCCCTCAATAAAATGATTAAAAACAAAAAAGAAGAAGAAGAAGAAGGGTAAGACAACAGCTTGAAAAGAGCCCCTATCAGAGCAACATAAATTCGGCTAAAATTGAATCAAGAATGGAGGATGAGTTCACGGTGAAGCGTGGGTGGAAGCATGGTGCAGTAACTGATGCCTTAAGAAGAGTCCGTATGGGCAATGCCCCAAAGAAACCAGCAGTTTATCCATGTGTTTTAAGAAGGGGTGAGACAACCACTGAAGACAAAGTGGGTGAATAAGCAAATGTGGTGAAGAAAGCTGATGGTGCCCGGCTATCAAAAGATATAGC